ACCAGATCAATCTATGGCCGTGACAGGAGGGCAGCAGGCCTCTGCCCTTCCATCCCCACCCCGGTCCCACAAAATGGGAAGGAAGGAAGGGAGGAAAAGAACAGCAGCAACAATCTATGGAGGAAAACTTGTTTTACTATGATACCAGAATACAAGATAACACAATAGATACAATTTAATTGAAATTGAGACTATTAAAGCAGACAAGATGAGAGAGAGAGTTCCCGGGACCGAGTCAAACCTGAACAGCTTGGAACGGCTGGGAAAGCACCTCCAGCACCCACTGCCAGGCAGCAGGAGAGCGCCAGCCCTGGAAGGGCCAGATCCCAGGACTGCTGTAATGTACAGGGATGGGAACCTGGGACTGGGGCAGTGACACTTTAATGCCCCGTGCACTGCATGATGTTTTGATGTGGAATACTGAAACTCCAAAACAAAAAACATAAAACCATAACATCAGCTCTGAGGGAGCCAGGGCACGACTCATAGCTTGACAGGAGCACTGTTTCCTTTTCATTCTGTTTAATCTACCTCCACTTAGAAAGGTTACAGCAGTGGCACAACTGCTGGGTGAACGCAGGCTTTCTCTCAGAAGCTGAGCACCCCACAGACCCCTGGCAGCAGGACGCCTGGGACCTGAGTCCAGCTGGGCACCTGTTGTACGTTGGCTGCAAGCAGGTGCATTTCTAATTATGACTCTTAATAAAAACCCCTCGCAGAAGTGCAGAGGAAACCACTGTGGTACAGATGCCATGATGAGAGCACAGCCTTCTGCAGACAGATCCATGCTGAAGCCAGGGCACTGGAGGCTGCAGCGAAGCAGCACATCTTACCTTTCCTCCTTTGTCTAGATGCTGACTTTCATAATGCTGGCCCGGCTGTCCACGCTTTGTCCTAACGCAGTTCTGCAGCGGCTCGAGCGACTGATCGAACCGCTCCGGGCAACCTGCTCCACAAAGGTGAGATCAGTGGGGCGTGCTGGGCGTTCTTGGCCCTCTGCTACTACTTCTGAGCAACCTGCTCCCCAAGTCCCTGTGGTCAGAAAACAATCTGCTCGCTCTGCTGATGTGGTCAGTGTTGTGCCAGCATCACCTTTTCTTAATCCTAACTGAAGATTCTGCTTTGGATTTTTAGGTAAAAGCTGGTTCAGTGAAACAGGAGTTTGAAAAGCAGGATGAATTGAAGCGATCGGCAATGAGAGCAGTAGCTGCTCTCCTGACCATCCCTGAAGTAGAGAAAAGTCCAGCGATGGCTGAATTTTCTTCTCACATCAGATCCAGTCCTGAAATGGCGTCGCTTTTTGAAAGTATCCAGAAAGACACTGCTTCTCTGCCCTCTGCAGAATCAATGGACCTGAGCTAGGGCTCTGCCCTGCACTCCTTTGCCTGCCTCCCCACACATGAGCCAAGGGATGTCACAGGTGGGCAGAGCGAGGATGCCATCAAGCTGCTCTGTGCTGCAGCAGCTGCTTGGCAGCCGGCGAGCACTAGCAGAAGTAGCTGCTTCTGGCTGCACCTGTGGGCACCAGGCATCTCACTGCATTTTAACGTGGCACGTGAGATCAAGGAAAGCATTGCCCCCGTGCAGGGAGGAGTAGATGTGTATGCTAAGTTTCAGCAAGCTTTTACAGGGTATGTCAAGCAATGTAGCATGATGCCATGGAAAATGGAAACCACCTCCTGGAGTTTCCCTACTGAAGTGCAAAGTGAAATAGCTTTGAAGTTTGTTTTTTTTTTAACCACTGCACACGCACTTTTTACTCCAAATTGCCTGAAGAATGTATTGTTTCACTTTACAACATGGCTGAAATCTGCGTGTCTTTTAAGTAGTGATGTACACCATAAGCACCTTTGTCAAGAAGAGGAAGGAGACTTGCATGAGCTGCAGCTGGACTTTCTTACCAAGACATCCCAGCCTGTCTGCACAGGGCTGGATTCATACAAGGGACAGGTGGGTATTTCCACAGCGTTTCAGCAATACTTTGTCTTTCTACTTTTACTGCAGAATACTTCAATAGGCTGCCTTCCAAAAGACTGCAGGATTGTAGTACAACACAAATCACTTACTAAGCTTTTCTCTGCATTAAGCAGGGGGCCTCTCTTTGCCTCTTGGAGCAATCAGTGCTTGTACTGAGTGACCACCACCACAGCACCCATCTGCTCCAAATTCTGGTCATTAAATTACACAGCTGCAACACTAATTAGGAGGGAAGCTCATATTGAGTGCTCCAGTATCACAGGTGAATCTCAGTAACCAGAGTTGCTGAAGCATACAGTCCACAGTACCTTCTGTCGTTTGAAAACCTCTAAAGCAGATGTTTTGTTCTAATACTGCTTTGCAGAGGGGAAGAAAAGCCTTAAGAGAAAATGTAACAGCAAATCAGAGAACAAGTGCACCACGACACATTTCTTACAGCCATGAAGTTGTAATAAGTTTTCATTTCTCATTTTTGACAGCGGTTGATGTGAAAAATATTTATAGTGCAGTGTTAAAGAATATCCACCTTGTTTGAGTGGTAACTTAAAATAAAAAATGTACCTACGAAGCCATGTTCATTCCTGAATTCATTGCTTGTCACAGCAACATTACATTGCTAACACTACTAGGAGCCTACAGAACAAGGGAACATCTGCTTGCACGACCTTTTCTTAGCCTCCACTAAGATGTCAGTTCCCTCCCCTGCAGCATGATCACAAGCAGGAATGGCTCCAGGCCCCCTGAAGCACAAGTACCGGGAAGGAAGCAAATCTCCAGGTAAGAGCAAGAGATGCACAAAGTGCACTGCTGCAAGCTCACTGTCAGCACAAACCTCAGGTGCAAGTGGAGTCACAGCACTGCGTGCCAAGCCCTCAGAAACAGGCAACAGGCCAATCCTGATCAGTTTGTTTTTACACTTTATTAAATACATCCCACACGTGGAGGCCAGCTTATTCGTTTTCCTCGCTGCGCAGTCTGGCATTCGGGTTGGTGATCTTGATGGCGAGCTGAGCCGCTCTCTCCACAATGACCTTCCGGTTCTTGGAAGACACGTTGTGAGCAATCTCTGCACAGTACGACCTGCAGGGAACACAGCGCGCCCTAAGCCTCAGCCCGATGCGTGGCAGCAGTGCAGGCAAAGCAACGAGAGCCATCCTGCCGACAGCAGAGCACAGGAGTTTAACAACGAGCCACAGACAGAGGTTTGATGGCCTCAGGCTCTCCATTCACCTTCCAGCACCGCGGCGCTGAGTAAAGCGAGACTCAGCGAGACGGTGCTGCGTTCCCCAAAGCTGCACACCTCCCAGGTCTCCTACCCGCATCCTCCTCCTCAGTGCCGTTGTGGGATGGGCAGCACAGCAGCACACAGCCGCAGCACTGACTGCAGAACTGCAGCAATGATTGGGGAAGGACGGGGAATAAACCCAGAGACTTACTTGTTGCTCATCATGAGCACCTCCAGCTCTTTGACATTGTGGACCAGAAACTTCCTGAATCCCGTGGGCAGCATATGCTTTGTCTTCTTGTTGCTCCCATAACCGATGTTGGGCATCAGGATCTGGCCCTTGAACCTCCTGCGAACTCTGTTATCGATACCTCTCGGTTTCCGCCAGTTGCGCTAAAGAAACACAGGAAGCATTTGGCATTCAGTTACAAAACTACATTGGTGCAAGAACGCCTGCACCAAGGTTGGCCAAAACCAACCTACAAACACTCACTGTGCTGCACTGCTGTATCACGTCCCACAGGTCTCACACCTGCGCTACCACTGCCCGGCCCACAGCTGCAACACCTGGCCTTTATGCTCTAATCCATCACCAGGCCTCCGGGCAATCACAAACCCGACCTTCCCCAAGGTGCTGCTGTAAGGAAGCTTCCATGAGTTTTTACCTTGATCTTGACATAGCGATCAGACTGATGGCGGATGAACTTCTTGGTCCTCTTCTTAACGATCTTAGGCTTCACGAGAGGCCGGAGGGCAGGCATGGCGGCTGAGGGAAGCAGAGCAGGATGAGAAAAGGCGCGACAAGGTGGCGACGCGTCACCGTGCCAACGAGGGCTGTAGCAGGCTATCTTCCACCCCCTAGCCACTGCCAGAGCCAGGGAGGGAATGGGTGTTCCCCTGCAGTGTCTCTGCCTCCCGTGTCCGAAGCTGGCGGAGCACCACGAGCTCCCCAGATGCGATCTTGGGAGGCGGCCCGCGCTCAGCTCCCCACGCCCGCTCTCGCACGCTCCGTTCCCCGCCCGCCGACTTCAGGGCCCTTCCGGTTCCCGAGCAGCCCCGCGGCGGGCAGCAGCCGGAGTCCCTTTAAGGACGGAACTTCCGAGAGCCCACCCGGCTCAGACCCGACGGCGGCCCGAACCCGGCCCCGCACCCCCAGCACCGCCCGTGGGCCGCTCCCGCTTCACTGCCGCCAGAAGCGACGCGCGCAGGGCTCCTGCGCGAGAGCCCGGCCTCAATGGCCCCACCGCCGCCGGGCTACAGACCGCGGAAAAGCCCCGGCGCCACGGCTCCCCGCGCGGCGCGGAGGCCCCCGGGGCAGGCGGCGGGGCCGGGCGGGCCCTCCCGGGTCGGATGGCGGCGGATGGCGGCGCTCACCTGCTACGCGATGGCGCCGGCACGGCACGGCCCGCCGAGAGAAGGAGGAGCCGCCGCTCGCGGGGGCTTATGGGAGATCTGGGCGGTACCGACAGGTCAGCGCCGCGCCCCCCCTGCACGGAGAAAGCGGCCGCCCCTCGCGGGGTCACACAGAGCCCTGAGCCGCAATAAGGTGGGACGCGTCCTGGAGGGCGGCGCGGGAGAGCGGATAAGTGCTTCCTCCGCGTCCCGCTCTGCGCGTTCACTACGAAGCTGACAGGACCTGCCGGGCGCCGCTTCCGCCAGGAAGCTCAGGGCCAGGCGGCACGCGGCTTCCGCCAGGCCCGCTGAGTGGGAGAGCGCCCCCTGGCGGTGAGGCATGTGCTGGCGGAACGGCAGCGGGGCGCGTTCGGTTTAAGGGGAGCAGGGGAGCTTTACAAGAACAGATGTTACAAAGTTAGATACGTTTATTAAAAACCTTTAAAGCGCTTGAACATTTTATTACAGTGATTATCTGAGTTGATGTCACACAACATATAAACTAAGAACGTGATGCTCAGCACAGCTCTGATGCTGCGCAGCCCACTGCGGGCACACCTGAGGCTGCACTCAGTCCCCACTCAGCTTCTCATAGTTTTCCCAGAGCCATGTGTGGTAGACGCTCAGCTTGTGGTCCTGAGGCTGCACCTAAAACACAACAAAAGTAATTAATGCTCATATCAATATCTTAACACACCTGACAGCTCCGAAACACACCCCCAAGCTACTTCCCCTCCCAGCTCACAACCTGCCCTTGTCTAACCCACAGTGCCACAGTCAGAGCAACAGACCCCTGCCACGTGTGAGCTAAGGCAGATGGATCAGTCAGCCTTGACTTGCAAAAAATGCATTCTGAGAATTCAACGAATTGAAATTAAAAAAAATATCTTTTTTTTTTTTTTTTAAATCCAAGTGAGCACATATTGTGACAGCGGCAGGAGGCGAGGCCAGGAACGCGCTGCCTGCACAGCCCCCTCAGGCCCCACTCACAGCAGCACCGCGCACCTCTTTCCACTCATTGACGCAGAAGATTCTGTAGGAGTCATTTCCGTACTTCCCGATTCCGTGCAGCTCAATGGGGTACTTCCACTGCTTGTGCAGGTACTCGTCTGGAACACACACACAGCCCTCACCGTGCAGGCCCAGGTCTGAGCAGACACCATGCTGCCCCAGACCTGCACATGGCAGCATTTTAAATGAAACCTCTACAAACACCACAAGTTACTCAGTTAAGACAATCCAATCAGCAGTTTCACACGTGTAAAACCAACATCTCCCAAAGCTTCAGAAAACAAACCAGCAGGGAAAGATGTCACAGAGCACAGTTAGGAAAATAGCTGTAGTTTTCTTGCTAACGACGTTTACACCATTCCACAAACACAGCCATAAAAACTTACCTGAAAACTTGATTATTGTTTTTGCTCTGAGCGCATAGAGGCCGAGAGGTCTGAGCAGCTCTGACATTTCTTTCCAGTCTGCAGTTCTGGCTACTTCAGGGGAAGGGTACTTCCTGAGGAACTCCCAGAGCACAGGAATTGCCATTTTACCTGCTCAAAGAAACCATCATCAGCTGTGCAGGTCTCTCTTCACTTTAACTATGCTGGTTTTTGCCAAGGCACAAGAAACAAATTACTATTTATTTTTTTTTTAACATCAACACAAACATGTGTATTTATTCTTTCATTAATGACACAAAAAAATTGGCAGCTGTTTTAATCCTATATCACCACCCAACAGTTACACAACGTGAAACTGTATTACTCCATTTACCTGAAGTCTTATTGAGAAATATGGTCGCAATGAGAAGTTTCCACGGATCGTGGAAAAGTGTTTCTTGGACCAAATTAAAAGGGGAGCGTGGAGGAGTCCATTTCCTGAAGGCCTTCCTCCTAGGCGGGCTGGGAGCTGTACACGCAGGCAATATAAGGAAATACATAGAGTAATAAAGGATGGAATTAGAGGAAAAAAAAATTAAATGATGAATTTTAGAAGCAGGCTCAGCACTGTGGGCATAGCGTTGGCAGTTTGTGCATACGGGTGCACTTCACACTGCAGCCCTGCAGTGCAGGCTGCCCCTACGTGCAGCCATGTATGCGTTTCCCACATCACCGAGCCGCCTCATTGCTCTCCCCTGCAAAATGGCAGTTGTGTCCCCAAGGAGAATCCTACCTTCCTTACTGTATTTACTTGAAAAATACGGACTCGTTTTCCTCCTATCCACTTGTGTCCGTGGGACAGATTCTTCTGTAAAGAAACGATACCTCAGTATTAAAATGGAAAACCCCACAGTTTGCCACCATGGCTCACAGACCTTTTCCTCCTTCATTCGTGGTGGAATTACACAGATTCCACGTAGGAATGCATAACACAGATGTGTTTTTCTGCATTTGAGCTCTGAGAAAAACATTCTGAAGAGGAATCACAACTCCAATGCAGCCTGGAAAACCAGGCCAAACGACAGCTAAGAATTCCACCCCGCCCCACACACTGCATCATGAAAGAAGCTACAACCAAAGCCTTCTTCACAAAGCACGGGGACCAACACGGCACCAGCACCAAGAGGCAGCACACGTTCAGCACTCGATCCCAGGGCACAGCTGAAGAGGCCGAAAGCGCTCCAGAAATGAGACGGAACAGGAGGCGCCCGTCCCGAACACTTTCCTCGGGTAGTTCAGGATAACGCGTTAGAATCATATTCTGCCTCAAAACACACCCATACCTCGCCGTATTTTAGCTGCCGCGAAGCTCTCGTCGCCAGCAGGCCGCAAGCCGTCGCTCCCCATTTCGGGGTCGGATTCGGAGCGCCGCGATCCCGGAGCCGCGGGCGCTGCGTGCGGCTCTTGGCGGCCGTTCCGCCCATCCGCGGCCGGTTCCGCGCATCCCGCCCGGCGCTCCACTTCCCGCCGGCCCCGCGCCGCTCTCCTCCTCTCGCTCCGGGCGCTTTCCCCGTTACTTCCTACGGAGCTCCTCCTCGCTCCGCCGTCCCGCGCGGCTCTCCCCGCCGCCTCCTCTCCGGCGCCGTTCGGGCGCCGTTCCGCCTTGCCGCCTTCCCCGCGCCGCGCCTCGGACCCATCGCTCCGGGAACTCCGCGCTCCGCCGTTCCGCACCCCGCTCCCAGCCGGGGCCGTGGCGCCGCCAGCTGTGCCGGCGTGATGGCAGCGCTCCGCCAGCGCCCGTCCGGACCGCAGCGTCGTTCCTTCGGCGCTGAGGGCGGAGAGAACGGCGAGCCGTCAGCGGGGCCGCTTCCCCCGCCTGCCCCGTCGGAAGGCCGCTAGGCGGCACGCCGGAAGGAAGCCGAGGGGGACGGAGCCGGGGCCGCCTGCCGCCGCTACAGGACGGGGCTCCGCAGCTCCCGCCGCGCCGAGAGGCGGCAGCGAGGCTCCGTCAGCGTGGCGCGGAGCTGCGGGACCCCGTCCGCGTAGCTCACGTGACCTCACCCGCACACTCCGCTCCGACCTCCCGGAGGCGCGCGCCGCCGACGCGCTCGCTCCATCCCCGCTTCGACGTCTCCCGCCCGCCGGTCGCCATGGAAACCGCTCCGGCGCGGGACGGCCTCGTTAAGGGTCGCTTCCGGACGCCGCGGTCACGTGACGTCCCTCGCGGCCCAGCCGACCGGCGCCCCCTGCCGTCGCGGCGGTCCGGCGGGCCTCCGGGCGCCTGCGCGTTGCCCAGGGAGCCGGCGGCGCGACCGACTCGGCGACCGAGTGCGGTCCGGGCCCGGCATGCGGGCCGCGCTCACCTGGCGGGACCGGGCCGAGCACTGGTGAGCGCCGCGGGGCCGGCGGGGGCGGCGGGGAGCGGCGGGACGGCAGCGTGCGCGGGGCCGGGCTCGGGCGGCCCTCGGGGCGCGGCTCCGCTGCCGGGGATCCCGGGAACGGGACGAACCGCCAACATCGACAGCCGCCACGACGACTCTTGTCTTCCCCAGCATCTACGACCTCGCGTTCAAGCCGGACGGGACGCAGCTGATCGTTGCCGCCGGCAGTCGGCTCCTGGTACGGACAGCTCGCTTTCCCCGCGCTGGGGCCGCGGTCCTGCCGCGTTTAACCCGCCGCAAAGCCCGGCCCGCTCTGCGCTCTGCAGGCCGGCTGCGGGGCGCTGCGATGTTACCCAGGTCCGAGCTCTGCTCCGTAGTGCGATTTCTGTTACCGCAGCGCCTCCTGACGCCTCGCCCAGCAGGCTGCAGGCCGCCCACCACGCGAAGCTGGCGCGGCGCGGGGCGTGCGAACACCGCCGTGATTCTGCGCTGATCGCGCGTTCAGTGAGCGTGTTGTGCTCCGCTTCGTGACTCGCAATCCCTGTGAAGAGGAGGAAGAAGCTCGCGTTTATGTTCGTGCTTTGAGCTGAGCCTCCAGTAGAGCCTGTCGGCTCCCAGGGCTCCAGCACCAGCAGCCCGGGCCGCCCTGCGCCTCCCTTGCGGTGCGGGGCTGTGGGCACAGCTGTGTGCTGTTCTGGGCCGTGAGCGCACGGACCTTCACGCTGCCGGGGCTGGCAGCGGTGTATTTAATGACGGTCCTTTCCAGTAGCTTATTATACAAGGAAGGAGAGGCGTGCGCTGGAACGTGGAGGCCCAGCGAGCTGTTTAGAAGTTTCATTTGTGTGTGTAATTTTCTAGTGCTGGACTTCTTCTGTGCCAATGTTAGGAAAGTATTGTTTGTTAAGGAGAACTGCTTTTACACTTTAAAATGCCTTAATCTGCATGAATTGTACTGCTTGCAAAAAAGGAAACAGAAAACAAAATGTAGAACCTTCTGGCCTTCAGTAATTTTGTGTCACAGTCCTCATCCTGAATATTTTTCTTCTGGTTACTTGTGCAGGTATATGATACTTCTGATGGAACCTTAATTCAACCTCTGAAGGGACATAAGGACACTGTGTACTGTGTGGCTTATGCTAAAGATGGTAAATATCACTTCTATGGGACTTTATTAGTCTGGTTTGTAAAGTGTGTAATATCTTCCATTCCGTATGGCAAACTGGTAAAAATGGGGCTGTTCTAGTGATGGGATTTTTGCATGTGCTGGGTTTGTTGTTTGTATGGTTGAGCTTTTTTTACATGAAAAAAGCCACTGAGGTTTCATGTAGCTGAGGAAGCACAGCACACCAGGACACTTGCAATGTTAGGCTCTTTATGGCTTGAGCCTTGTCAAGTTCAAGAACATCTTGCTCTCTCTTTTGTTGAATACTGGGTGAGTAAGGGATTCTTATGTGTGGGATTTAAACTGTATTTAATTCCTAGGCAAACGTTTTGCATCTGGCTCAGCTGATAAAAGTGTGATCATTTGGACTTCAAAGCTAGAAGGAATTCTGAAATACACGTAAGTGCTGGCTTTCAATCCTGTGCATCTCCAGTGAGAACCTTCGTTATGCACTTCTGCTCTCAGTAAGTGATGTTAGAGCTGGAAGGTTAACTAAGGTTAGAGAAAATGCCAGTGAGTAATACGAGAGGGAAGAGGAGAGCAGCTGAAGTGTCTGAATGAGGCAGGAAAGCAATTAAAGGCATAAATGAGGGTGAAAGGTCTAGATAGATCTCTGATGTATTTAAAGGGCTGGCAAAGAACTGGGGAAATTCTGTAAGATGAAATGGGATGAAGCAGAATATAACTGATCTTGTGTAACAAATCAGAGCAATGTAACCTAGGTCGCAGTCCAAGCTGAAGGTACGGCTTGGTGCTTTTCCACACGGTGTATTTTCATCTTTCTTTTGGCTTTGTTTCATGTCATGTCTTTGCAACTACATCTTCAAATTGTGTTTCTGAATGTGTTTGCACAGTTGTTGCTGGTTGGTTGCACAGTGTGCTGGGCAGGAGAACAAGGGCACTTATTTTAGAGTTTGGATCTAAGCGTTCATCACATCTAACAAACCCCATTTATGCACACATTGAACTCATCTTGATGGAACAGCGAATCCTGCCGTTCAGTGACAATGTTTTTTAGGATTTATTATTGATGTAGTTTACAGTAATTGCAGATTAATTTGATGTAATATAAGCTGATCGAGTTATTTCTGCCATCTGGTGAGCCCTTCAGCTACTTTGCTGAAAGTCAGAAAGAGGCGTTTAAGAATGATTTACTGAAATGTGATTGTAACTTCATTCTAGGCATAATGACTCCATACAGTGCGTTTCCTACAACCCTCTTACTCACCAGTTGGCATCCTGCTCTTCCAGTGATTTTGGTATGTCTTTTTCTCACTTTTCCATTAAGCCTGCGAACTCTGTACAAGTTTCACAGCTAAGCTAACAACAGATTTGTGCAGCTCTTTTTATCTGGGAGAAACCAGATGTTGCCCAAAGCTACTTATGTGTATCACGAAAAGTCAGTTGATGAGGACTGTGTTGTGAGATGTCCCAGAACAAATGTACCTTCTTACTGTGATTTTTCCAGTGGGAGCCTTTCTCTGTGTTAGATATATCTATTTTTTCCTCTTTGCTGTTTGTGTAGTATGTATTTAAATGTCCTAGCAGTGAGACTTTGTTCCCTCTGAAGTCTGCGCTGAGTTTCCTGGCAAAGCTGGTTTCTAATCTGAACACTGGTAAAGTTTTCTTGTCATTTACTTCAGCTTTTTTTTTCATTTTAATCAAGGCTTGTGGTCGCCTGAGCAGAAATCAGTCTCTAAACATAAAGCTAGCAGTAAGATAACTTGCTGTAGGTAAGTGTTCTTTAAGTTAGTTTCAATATAAACAGTTTAAAATAGTGTGCAGGCTTATGGAAAAAAAGTTTAGACAATATAGCTCAAGTCTGTGGAGCCAGAGAACCCAGCAGGAGAGAGAGGCTCTCCTAAGCTGCTGTTCAGAAGCATTACATTTCATGCGACTCTGCCATTCTCATCATTGAAATGTTTGATTAGTATTAAGAATGCTCAGAAAATGAATATTTGTCCAAGATGACTTGTTCTTTCCTGTGTTGTCTTCTCAGAGAGCTATTTTTCTTTCTTTGTCCTTGTTTTAGATAGCAGAGGGCTTTGGTTTCCATTAGGTACTGTTTACAACAGTACATATATAATTGTTCAGTATGTACAATGTGTATTGAACTCTTCAGAAGGTATCAGAGAGGTGCTCTGGTCTTGTGTGAGCGTCTGAACTTCTGTCTCCATCTGTGCAGCCAACTTGTGCAGTAGCAATGAAATGAAGGTAGAGGAAAGCTGAGCGTGCTTTGTTCATAGAGCTGCTCATCTTCTGTGTTGCTGGCATTTGCAGAAGGTGTTGTTACTCCTCTGAAGCAAGGGTACATCAGTTTGTGTGAAGTCATCCCGTTGGCTGCAGTAGAGACAAGAAGAGAAAGCAGGGCTCTCTTGTCCCCACCGCATGCGGTGTCGTTGCTCCGGATGTGGCTTTGAAAAGCCTGGTGTTCTGCCAGCACTCTCATTCCCAAAAATGCATCTGTTAATTAGCACATGATACAAACACCACAAGCAGATGATAGCTTTAATTTTGTTGTTGTTGTTTCCACCTTTTTCTAATTTGTGTATGCAATAAGAAGTTCTTGCTGCGTTGCGCGCTGTTGCCATAAATGCGGATTTAGGTTCATAAACAACTCTGAGGATTGCTGGCTCCGTTCCAGAATGCCTTCAAAAAGCCTGTTTCAATACCATCCCTATTTGATTATGCTGCACCATTCTGCCTTCCTGCTGCTTGGTTTGAGCCGTTTTCAGTCCTTGTGTGTTTTATCAGCTGGACAAACGATGGCCAGTACCTTGCCTTGGGGATGTCCAACGGAGTCATCAGCATACGGAATAAAAATGGTGATGAGAAGGTGAAGATAGAGCGTGCCGGGGCTGCCTCGTCTCCAATATGGTCCATTTGTTGGAATCCATCCAGGTAAATCATCAGCCCACCCTTTTCCACGCTGCTGGTCAGTCCTTGGCTTGTTGATAACAGAAAGGCCCGGCCTGCATCCCTGCTGAGCAGGTTCAGGGCCCCTAACGGTGCCTTTTGTTGTGGGCTGGGCTTTGGCAGTGTTCATCACGTGGAAGAGAATGGGAACAAATTCCAGCTAGAGATCATGAAACTTTGATTTTGCTTTTTTTGTTGCTGGATTTCAGCTTGCTTTTGGGGAGAGGAGGGTGGGCTGTTTGCACTCACTGTGCCATATATGTGAATAAACAATTGCTATTGCAGTTGGTGGGAGAGATTTTGGAGTAGAGCAGATGAAGAAGAGGAATCAGATAACGGCCATTTAGAGAAGTCAGATCACAGCCAGTTAGAGGAGATTCCAGAATTGAAACCCAACCCTGACAGTGGGCAGGATAATGAGGAAAAGATAGAAGACAATGAGAAAGAAGAGGCTAAGCATTTCGACTTGTGAGTGAGACTACAATGGATAACACATATATCAATGGCATTTATCCAATATATAACATATATCCAATACAATGGATACATATATATCCATATGTATAGCATAGGAGAGCAATTTACAAAAAGGACCAAAGGCACAGGGAATTTATGCAGGGTGCAGAATTCAAAAGGTACCAAATTCTGGATTAAGTGTCATTTTTATTGTCTTAATTTCTTCCACTAGTAAGTGTTAATTGTGACATTCCTTAGGTTTGTGGTAGCACGTTGCTTTTTCT